GCCCGCGCAGCTTGGCGTCTACCAGCGGCTCCAGTGCTGTGACCTGCCAGTACCAGCTTCAGACTGGGCCTCTCCGCGGCACTCTGTGCCGCCGCCCGCACCCGACCGCCCGCTGTTTCCGCCGCCTCGACGATCTTTTTCGTCGTCGCTTTGGCCCGGCCCCGGACCTCCCTGACTGGCACAGCCTGCTCCGCCAGGGCGTGCCAATCTTTGAGTTAGACATGGATCAGATAGGTGCTGCTTTGCATGCTTTGTATGCTGACGCTTCTAGTGTTGCTGGATCTTACTACCCTGTGTACTCTAGTTTAGGTGTTTCACCCTTGTGTAGCTTAGCTTCCCCTGCTGCGACAGGCGTAGGACTGCCTAGGTTGCCTAGTCTAGTCGCTGCACCGGCTCCGTCCCCGGCCTCCGCCACTGCGTCGCTGTCCTTCACTCTCGACTCTGGTGCTTCTGCCTGCTTCTTCCGCGACCGTTCCACGCTCACGCCGCTTGCTGCACCTGCTGTTGTCCCTCTCGCTGACCCCTCTGCGGGTCCGGTCGTCGCGCGCAGTTCTACGTCCCTTCCCTGTCCGGCAGTTCCCTCGGGCTCCCTTACTGGCCTCCACGTTCCCTCGTTCTCCAGGAACCTGGTTGGTGTCGGCTGTCTCCAGGACCTCGGCGTCACCACCACGTTCCCCGGGCACGAGCGGTTCGCTGTCTGTTCTGAGGCTGTCTCAGGTTCCCCCCTTGCGACGTTCCCCCGGGACCCGGTGTCCGGTCTGTTTACCCTACACACCGCTTCCCCCCCGGTTGGTGCGTCCTCCCAGGTCGCTGCAGCTTGCTCGTGTCGGTCCCTCACTCACCCCTCCCTTCTCTGGCACCACCGCTTAGGTCACCCTGCTCTCCCGCGTCTGCGTCACATGTCCCAGCACGGTCTTGTCTTAGGTCTCCCCGCGTCGCTCCCTGCCCTTCCTCCCTCGACTGCGCCACCGTGCACGCCTTGCGTCGAGGGTCGGCTCCGCCGTGCTCCTCACTCCTCCTCGCTGCGTCCTGCTACTGCCCCCCTTCAGACCCTGCACTTGGACGTTTGGGGCCCTGCCCCCGTCCCCGGACCGCGCGGTGAGCGCTACTTCCTTGTGCTCGTTGACGACTACACGCGCTACACCACGGTGTTTCCCCTGGAGCGGAAGGCCGACGTGCCCGACGTTCTTCTCCCGTGGGTTATAGCTGCGCGTCTCCACCGCGGTCTCCCCGTGTTGTGTCTCCACTCCGACCGTGGCGGCGAGTTCGCCTCTGGTCGGCTTGGACAGTTCTGTCGTGCGGAGGGCATCACCCAGTCGTACACCTTGCCGGACTCGCCACAGCAGAATGGGGTTGCTGAGCGCCGCATCGGCTTGGTCATGGAGGTCGCCCGTACCTCCATGATCCATGCCGATGCCCCCCATTTTCTGTGGCCGTTCGCTGTTCGCTACGCGGCTCACCAGCTTAACCTGTGGCCACGCTCCCAGCGGCCGCAGGTTTCGCCGACCCTCCTTTGGACCGGGTCCCCCGGTGACGCGTCTGCGTTCCACGTCTGGGGCTGCCTTGCTCACGTTCGTGCCTCTGGCACGGACAAGCTCACTGCCCGCACTGTCCCCTGTGTCTTCCTCGGTTTCCCCCTGGACTCGTCTGACTGGCTTTTCTACCACCCGCCGTCTCACCGCTTCCTCCACTCTCGTGACGTCACCTTTGACGAGTCCGTCTCCTTCTACCGCCGCTTCCCTCACCGAGGTCTCCCAGTTGCCCCCCCCCTTTTCCTTGCTCCCTCTCCCCCGGTAGCCCCTGCCCCTCTCCCGCCTCATCCTGCCCCGTCTGGTGTCTCCCACGTCACTCCCCTCCCGTCGGTTGTCCCCGTTGAGGAGTCTGCTGACTCTGGTGGTACCCCCGGTCCGTCCTTGCCGCGTCCCCCTTCCCCGGTGCCTCCGCCCCCACTGTCGCAGTCGCCGACCCCGCTGCCGCCGCCGTCGCCGTCGCCGCCGCAGCCGTCGCCGCTGTCGTCGCCGCCGCCGCCGCTGTCGCTGCCGCAGCCGTCGCCGCTGTCGCCGCCGCCGCAGCCGTTGCCGCCACTGCCGCCGCTGCTCTCGGCCCCTGGGGGTGCTGGTGTGGAGGAGGGTGTTCGTCCTGCGGCTTCTGGGGGTGCCGCTGGTGTTGGAGGGGGTTCTCGCTCTGGGGGTGTTGGTTCTGGGGGTGCTGCTGTTGAGTGTTCTGCCGACGGTCGTTCTGCCTCTGCTGGTCCGAGAGTTCCGGCCCAGCCGTCGTCGCCACCGGTTTCCGCTCTCCGCCTGCTCGGCCTTCCCTCCCCGGACCGCGCGCCGGTGTCTCCCCCACCGCCTCCTGACCTCCCTGTCTACGGTCCTGTGTTCCCGCCGCCAGACTCGTCTCCGGCCCGTCTTCCTCCTCGTTCCCCTCCTGTGTCTCCTCCGCTGTCCCCTGACCCTACCCCTCCGTCTCACGTTTGGGCTCGCCGTCCCTCCCGTGCTCGTCCCGTCTCTCCTGTCCTGCCCACCCACCCTATGTTGCTCCGTTCCCACTCGTCTCGTCCTCCCCTCCTCCCGTCCCCTCCTCCCTCATCCCTTGTTGTTGCACCTCCTCCGTTCTCTGACTACCTCCGTGCTGCTCGTCCCCTTGTCCCTCGGGTCCTTGCCTCTCTTGTTACCGACCCTGCTGTTCCTGTCTCGCGCCTTGACGCGCTTGTCGCTGCTGTCGCTGACTTCGCTTCTACCCGCCGCCTTGACTACGCTACCGCTCTGGTATCTGACCCTGCCCGTCCTCTGTCCGTCGGGGGTGCTCCTGCCCTTGGCAGTGACGTCCTAGAGGACAGGCAGTACGAGCTGGCTTTCCTTTCCGAGGCTGCTCCCCATCTCTGCTCCATGCTATTAGTCCCTGAGGGTGACCCAGACGCCTTCGACATCCCGACCCCTCGCACCTACGCTGAGGCCACCTCGGGACCTTGGGCCTCTCAGTGGATAGCTGCCATGGAGCAGGAGATGGCATCTTGGAGATCCACCGGCACTTAGGTCGACGCAGTTCCCCCGCCTGGGGTGAACGTAGTCGATGGTCGGTGGCTCTTCAAGGTGAAGCGCCCCCCTGGAGAGCCGCCTGTCTTCAAGGCGCGCTACGTGGCCAGAGGTTTCAGTCAGCGCGAGGGGGTTGACTTCTTCCAGACCTTCGCCCCGACCCCGAAGATGACCACTCTTCGGGCGCTGCTACACGTAGCAGCACAGCGTGACTACGAGCTTCACTCCCTCGACTTCTCTACTGCCTTTCTTCAGGGCAGCCTACACGAGCAGGTCTACCTGCGCCGACCACAGGGCTTCACTGGTACCTTCCCTCCTGGGACCCAGTGGCTTCTCAGGCGCCCGGTCTACGGCCTGCGTCAGGCTCCCCGCGAGTGGCACGACACGCTACGTGCCACGTTAGCAGACCTGCAGTTCTTTCCGTCCTCTGCTGACCCTTCACTGTTTGTGCGTTCCGGCCAGACTCCGTTCTACATCCTTGTCTACGTAGACGACCTGGTCTTCGCTACTCCTGACAGGGACGCACTGGCCTCTGTGAAGGCTGAGCTGCTGAAGAGACACACCTGCACTGACCTTGGAGAGCTGCGTCGCTATCTTGGCCTGCAGATCTCTAGGGACAGAGCAGCACGCACCATCACTCTGACCCAGTCACACTTGGTGCGTCAGGTCCTTCAGAGGTTCGGTCTTCAGTTCTCCTCCGCACAGCCCACACCTCTACCCGTAGACCATGGGCTCTCTGCTCCCGTTCCTGAGGAGCCAGTAGAGCCCAGTGGCCCCTACGCAGAGCTGGTGGGTTGCCTCATGTACCTGATGACTTGCACTCGCCCAGATCTCGCATACCCTCTCAGCATCCTGGCTCGCTTTGTGGCTACAGGCAGACACCGACCTCAGCACTGGTCTGCCGCTAAGAGGGTTTTGCGTTATCTTGCTAGTACATCAGGCATGGGGTTAGTGCTAGGAGGACGCAGGCCAGTGGTCCTTACTGGGCACATAGACGCTTCTTGGGCAGACGACGCTGAGACGCTCAGGTCGTCGCAGGGCTACTGTTTCAGCCTTGGTTCGGGTGCTATCTCTTGGAGATCCACTCGCTCGTCGTCTGTGGCTCAGTCTAGCTGTGAGGCTGAGATCTACGCTGGTGCCATGGCGGCACAGGAGCTCCGCTGGCTGACCTTCTTGCTCAGACTTAGGTGAGCGGCCTAGCTCTGCCCCGGTCCTGTACGCTGACAACAGGGCCATGATACTCCTGTGTCAGGAGCCTCGGCTTGAGGGCAGAGCGAAGCATATCTAGCTGCGGTACTTCCTCCTGCGCGAGCTACAGCAGCGCCGCCAGGCCCGCGTAGTTCACTTGGCTTCAGGTGCCAACACAGCCGATATCTTTACTAAGGCGCTTGCGCCTAAAGATCATCAGCGGCACTGTGTACAGCTTGGTCTTGTTCCTATAGCTGCTCCCCTGTTAGGATCCTGATTGTGTACTCTCTATTATATATGCTTGTCAGACTGGCCTTGTGGCCTTACCTCCAGTGGCTGGACTAGTAGTGCCACCCTGGCTTGCTTCAGTTTTGGTTGTATTCTTGCTGACTGGTCTCCAGACCCCTGCCTCAGTGGTTGGACTAGTAGTGCCGCCCTGAGCTGTTTGCTTCTTGTTTAGTTTCACCCCTTGTCTAGCCTAGGGGGTGTGTCAACTTATACATATTATCTATGTAGAAGTTATAGGCTAGACTGAGGTATGCTTCTAGTGAGTACAACCAACTAGTATTTGTTCTAGGTTTCCACCTCTAGTAATCATTCGTTTCTACGTTAACAGAAATGTCCTACTGATCCGAGCGAAGTCTTCACCGTCACCATCGCGGAAATGAAAATTTCAAGAACAGCTACATCTAAGGAGCACGTGCAAATATAACCTGATTGTTAAAAAGACTGATGACGAAGATTTTTACCCCAACACAAATATGGCCGATGAAGATATCAGGAAGTCTCGAGTTATTCCAGTGCAGGCGGAAGTTGCTGACTTCGTCCAGAGAAACGCTACAGATGGATGCAAATGGGATAGCATTCCCAGTTAGACAAGAGGAGATTTACCGACTATTACTATTCTAGGGCCAGCTCTGAGCCTGATCAGACGTTCGTCAGTAAGATCGATATACGGCAAATGCAAAGAGCAGCAAGGTTCTTTTGAGCAGGAGATTGGTGGTGTTCCCACCACAACGATCTACCTAGCCCTGATAGAGCAGATAAATCCAACTGCTGCTAGAACCACGCTTCACTGCTTTTGGAAAGAAATACTCCTTGTTCTCAGCGTCCCAGCTCATTGATTGTGGAGTAGAACTCTGCACCGACCCTATCACTTGGGACATCGAGCTCCGCTACACCTGTCCCAATCAGCCAGGGGAAGCAACCAACCTGTCGCAGTACACTGGACGAGCCTGATCCCGCAACGGTGTTTACGTCCTTGACTTTGACAAACCAGACTGCAGCGGCGGCATAAATGAGCTCATCGACCTTCTTCCCTTTGACTTCTCAAGGAAGTCGAAGGATGATGAATGGACTCACCCAGACGGCTGACCGTGGGTCAAGCATCATTAGCACCCTGCCGAACATGCTGAACTCTTACTGCCTTCACCAGCAACACCGCTAGAACCGGACTCGGCACCCTGGAGGAAGCCTAGTCTCTCGCACCTCCTGCAGTCAGCATGAGCGATATTAAATTGTGAGCTACAACCACACCCGTTCCACGCCTCGACGAACTCCCTCCAAGAGAGAAAACCCAAGCAAAAGAACAACTAGACCACAATCTGCATTGTGCCAGATATTTCGATGAAACTGGACATGCCACGCCCTAGACCCTGACCACTCACATGGTTTTCCACCGGAACTGGCACGAACTACATAAGGGAGAAGAAACAAGAGAAGCAACAGTCACATCAGCAGAAGCAAGAGAAGCAAAAGAAGCAGCAGTAGGAAAAGCAACAGAAGCAGCAGAGGGAGCGGAGCAATAGCATAAGAAGCAGACGCAGATGCTGGAGGCACATCACTCCAATGGGTGGACTCTGATACACTACACCCCTGGAAGTGTCGGGTGCTCCACCTTGCTCACTCCACAGTCCTCATCCGCTGGAGTCCACACCCATTGGTGCAGACAAAGAAGAAGAGGGAATATGCTTGGAGGAAGCTACCAAAATCTTTGGCAGTGACACCCCTGAGGAGATCACTAAGTGAACACTAGCAGCAGCTGCATCTGCCCCAACTGTACTTAATCGCCAATTTTTTTCCACCCGCACTGGACCGTGAATTCCTTGCACTCGCCATCTGCACCACAACCGCTGCCGCACCCGAAGAAGCACCTGCTCAAAGTCCATAAAAGTCTCAAGCTCGTTCCCGCAGCTCTACTGGCCACCATGCACCTGATTGCATGTGGCACCAGCGGCTCGAACATCACCCTCAACAACTCACTAAGGTCAGGTGTGTCATCAAGCAAGGAGCAGCTCTCTGCTGGAGCCAGGCACGAATCGCTATGCAAAGCTCGACAAAGTCTATAGCGAATTCCTGGCCCTTACTTAGACCGGCCTTCAGGGAGAACTATATCCACCCATCTTCATAGACGTCAGCACTCGCAACGTCAGGGTTTACGAGATTTTCCGCCTGAAGCTCAGCCATGCGGAATGGCAGTCAAGGGTGAAGCTGAAGTGCTGGCAGATGGACGAAGCCCGGGAATTCTAGAGTGAGCAGCTGCAAGCTTACAGCACCACCTCTCTCTGCCATACGCTCACCCTTAGCAGGGAGTCATCGAGTGGACTAATCGCACCTTGATGACAAGGGTGCGTGCTATAATACAGTAGTTACACGGGCGTATAGACTACTAGCCCTACTTTATGCATTACGCTGTCCGCGTCCACCACTCGTTTTCCACAACTTCAAATTAAGGGAATTTTTTCCCTCACATAAAGTGGGCAGGCAAGCCTGGCGACACCAAAATGCAGCAGGCATGGGGGTGCATGGTTGAGTACCAACCCCTCACTACCATAACAGGGAAGTTCGAGCGCCATGCACTCTAGGTGTTGCAGTCTAGAGCACAATGCATGAAACATCCTTGACTTCCAGACATTCAAGTTTGTGCCCTTGCGAGGCGTACGCATTCTACAAACGTCTCACCTGCCACAGTTTTGTGTCAATCGATCTACCGATCATGTCGTCGCTTACGCTCATGGGGAGCACATCTTTGCATCTGCAAAAGACGAAGCAACTGCGGAACAACTTGACCGCGACCCTCCTAACCAACACCCCATACCTAATCCTAGGTTCGACAATAACGATGAGGCTCCGCTCGACGCTTCTCGCGACACAATCTGCTGCAGAACAACCATCAGCACTCGAGAGGACGGAGGCGACTCTGACGATAATGTCCAAGTAGTTACCGATACAGTGAGCCGAAATTTCGAAGTCTCTGATGGCATATTGCAGCCCATGTTGGCTATTCCATCATCGACCCCAAGACCCCTCGTCAGGCCCCACATGCCTTCAGCAAAGAAATGGTGCAAGGCCATGGGTGACGAGGTCCTCGCTATTCGCACCCCCAACATGGTTCTATCGAGCGGTACAAGGCATGGTGGATCATGTGCGGTTACGACAAGCACCACGGCATCGACTTCAACTTAAAGCCCAGATCCCAAGTTGCAAGGCGCGAGCTTTTTTGCTAGCAATATCGCGGCACAAAAAGGTTGGTAACCCCATGCACCCGGATGAAACTGAGCAATGACGCGGTGGTTGTAAATGGGGGATCGTGATTGGTCGAAAGGCAAGCAAACACATTCGCCCAAGCAGCCCAACCCCTGGCTCTCTCTCAGCTCAAACGGCTAAGGGAAAGTTGCTATCAATTTTTGTAAATTGGGACCCAGGCGAGACTGACTGGTGACTAGAAACTAGCCAGCATACGAGGTTTCTCGCGCGCGTAGCCAAGCCTAGACGAAACTGCGTGCCATAAGGAATGATAGCGATAATGACGCAGATCCCGCGACGACCGGCTAGGCATTGCGAACCGCGCATAATTCATCCCGAGGGACGAAGTGACGTGGGAGCAGGGACAGAGAGACGCGACAGCAGGGACGGAGAGACGCGACAGAACCTACCAAGTGACGCGATAGCACAGAGTGGCTGAGGCGAAAGCAGGGAGGAAGCAGCGAGGGCAGGGGAGGGAGAACGGAGTGAGCGCGCGGGAGGGAGAGCGGAGTGAGCGCGCTGGAGGGAGCGCGGAGTGAGCGCAGGAGGGAGAGCGGAGTGAGCTCGCGGGAGGGAGAGCGGAGTGAGCGCCGGAGGGAGAGCGGAGTGAGCGCGCGGGAGGGAGAGCGGAGTGAGCGCGCGGGAGGGGGAGCGCGTGAGCGTGCGGGAGGGAGAGGGGCGTGAGCGCGCGGGAGGGAGAGCGGCGTGAGCGCGCGGGAAGAGCGGCGTGATCGCGCGGGAGGGAGAGCGGCGTGATCGCGCGGGAGGGAGCAGCGTGAGCACGGGAGGGAGAGCGGCTTGATCGCGCGGGACGGAGCAGCGTGAGCGCGGGAGGGAGAGCAGGGGCAGCGGAAGGGGATGGGGAGAGGGGTGAGAGAAAGGGCAGGGGTGAGAGAGACGAGTGAGAGCAGGCGAGGGGGAGAGGCGGGAGAGCGAGGGAAGGGGAGAGGGGTGAGAGTGGAGTAAGGGGAGAGGAGAGAGAGCAGGGTAGAGGGAGAGGAGTGCGAGCAGGAGAGGGAGATAGGAGTGAAAGCAGCGAGGGAGGGAGGGAGTGATAGCAGGCGAGGGGAAGAGGAGTGAGGGCAGGGGCAGTTGGAGAGGAGTGAGAGCAGGGGAGGGGGGTAGGAGTGAGAGCAGGGGAAGGGAGAAGAGTGAGCGCAAGGGAAGGGGAGAGGAGTGAACTTAGGGACAGGGAAGATGAGAGAGAGCAGGGTAGGGGGAGAGGAGTGCGAGCAGGGGAGGGAGGGAGGAGAGAGGGCAGGGGAGGGTGAGAGGGAGTGAGAGCAGGGGAGGGAGAGAGGGAGTGACAGCAAGTGAGGGGAAGAGGAATGAGAACAGGGGAGGGGGAGAGGAGTGCGAGCAGGGGAGGGAGAGAGGAGTGCGAGCAGGGGAGGGAGGGAGGAGAGAGGGCAGGAGAGGGAGAGAGCGAGTGAGAGCCGGGGAGGGGGGGAGGAGTGACCTGGGCTTTAACCTTCACACTAACTAGTTGCCACGCGCCCGTCTGCATCCTACTCGTTGTCGTCACCTCCGAGCATCTCAAGATGTGCTAGATCGACGTGAATAACGCGCTCCTCTGCGCCAAGGTGAACGCGCTCACCTACGTCAAGCAGCTGAACACCTACGGCGACGGAGATTCACGTGTGTGCCAGCTGTAGAAATCCCTCTACTGTACAGTACAAGATTACTCAGGCACCATGACTGTAGCAACAGCATCTCCACGACATCCTCATCAGCATCAGTTCGCCTAGCTGCCTTACAACCCTATGATATACAGTGACAGAAAGTATTGCCTGTATATTTGCCATCAAAACATTCTCATGAGGTTTTGGTGGGGTTTTTCTAAAATAACAATAAATATTTTACCATGTGCTATAAATTAGGATTGTTTATGTGTAACAGGTAAGGGTTTCAGTTTTGTAGGGGTCGATCTTCTACCAGGGACAAGATTTAGTTCGAGTGGGTGCATCCGGAGAGTTTGTGCCAAGCGGCGTACTAGATCTATATCCGAAATTTTCGTATTCTACTTAGTTGCCTGTGCGACTTTCGACTAGTCCGTAGATAGGCCACGCCCGCTACTAGGAATCGGCCATCATGAAACCTTAGATGAGACGCGTCATGCAAGCATAATTACCTTGTTGAGGAGGGGGTACAGCACTCGTAGAATCGCTAAAGAGCTAGACGTGAGGAAGAGTACGGTCCATGATTATGGCCTCAAGGCTATTGCTGAGTCTAGCCGCGACGACGTGCGTCCTACTGCCCTCTGCCGATCACCCTTGCTTAGTGACAGAGAGAGTTCGCCGAGGCATAGTTCGATTGATTACTAGCAGGGAGGCAAAAACCTCTACTCACGCGGCAAAGATTGTCGAAATGCAGCACGACATCGCGCTGCATCCTAGGACTGTGCGTAATGCCTTGAATGACAGCGGACTTGATGCAATCCAACGGCCTAAGAAGCCGCGAACCTCCCAGAAAAACATACACGATAGGTTAGAATTCGCCCGGGCCCACACCGACTGGACGGTTGACGACTGGACGGTTGACGACTGGAAGCGAGTGATCTGGTTGGATGAGACCAAGATCAATCTTTTCACTTGTGACGGATGCTCATATGTCTGGGTTCGCGAAGGTACTGCCCTCAAGAGCCACCAAATCAAGCAGACCGTCAAACACGGGGGTGGCTGGTTGATGATTTGGGGCTGCATGTCGTATGAGGGAGCGCGTTTCATGTGCAAAATAGATGGTAGGATGGACGGACCGCTCGATCCGAGTATACTGCAGGACGAGCTCAAGACTACGATCGACTTTTACCAGCTTTCCCCCTCGGATGTTATCATCCAGCAGGACAACGACCCTAAGCACAAGTCGCGTATTGTGCAGCAGTGGCTTCGAGAGCAGGAGTTTGGGGTGCTGGAGTGGCCTTCATCATCTCGCGACCTCAACCCGATAGAGCATCTATGGGCTCATCTCAAGAGGGAGTTGGCCAAGCATGAGAGGCCCCCCACTAGTATGCTGGACCTTAGGGAGCGTGTCCAGGAGGAATGGGAGAAGATCATAACAGATGTGTGCACCCGCCTAGTAGAACGCATGCCAAGAGGGTGAGGGCGGGGATTAAGGCGAAAGGGCGGTGGAGTAGTTACTAGTTTGGGGTTGTTGAAACTTGCCACTTGCACCTGACACTAATTGTCCAGATGTATCATGATTCTTCATTTCTGCTTTTAGCTGTAAGCATCAGTATGTTCGTGAGATGTTAGGCATGGGCCTAGAGCCTTACCCCAACCTATATACAGTGGGCACGCCAAAACATTAAGGCTTAATGTGCATGACCCCTTAATATTCAAAAATTCGTCTAAGGCACGAGCATGCGGACAATACTTTCCATCACTGTATCCCCTCTACTTCCACAGCAAGAACATCCAACTTACAGTCTACATCGACAACATGCTGTACACCAGTACCAGCCCAGAGCTCCTCGACCATTTTGAGCACAATCTCGGCTGCTGCGTCGCCATCACCACCTCCCGTACTGTTACTCAGTTCCCTAGGCTCAACATCTCCTACTCTCCCGATGGCATCCACCTCTCCGCTTCCAAGTATGCAGAGAGCTTTGCGACAAAGTTCTTCATTACGCTCACTCCCGTCTTGATTCCCTAACACATGTCTGCCACTGGCTACAAGCCAGGCAACCAAGGTTCTCAGCGCATCAACTCTACCAGCAGCAGCTCAGCTGTCTGTTATTCAATGTCTGTTACCACTCCTTTATCGCTAGCCAGCTTGCCCTGCATTCTCGGCAACCCAATGGGGAGAACCTTGTGGACCTACAGCGCGCAATACTATACTTCATTTGCACCCCGCACATCAGCCTAACTAACTCGAATCTGACCACCCCATCCTTCTAGCTCATCGGTTACGTCGACACTGATCAAGCCGCAGATTCCGCTAATTGCCGCTCTCAAACCAGATTCCTCTTTGCCTCGAACCTACAGGTCCTATCTCGTGGAACTCCCAGAAGCAGAAAATGGTTGCCCTCTATATAGCTGAAGCAGACTTCATCGTCGTTAATGTTGTCGTTCGCGAATTTCTCTACCTAAATGAACCCTTGCGGGACGCAAAACTCATTATGTCACAGAGCTTCAAGTTACGATCAGGATCGCCAACAAGGCGAGATTCATGAATCGCACAAATCATATCGCACTACGGTACTTTTTCGTCTAGGAGGAAATCGACAAGGGCAAGGTGGACCTCACCTATTGTCCTAGATGTGACATGGTAGCATACTTCCTGACCAAGCTATCACATCAGCACTATCCGCACTGCACTGACATCTACGGTGTCACCAATTGTGCCAAAACATGCTGCCTTAGAAATGAAGGGGAGTGTAATGATAAAGATTTGCTTCTTCATTCCTGAAGGTGACGCTCAATAGTGCAACACCTTCTACTACGGTATAGTATCATGTATACGTTTGAGTCAGTTGCGAAGTGCAATCGTCATTGACCGTTGACTAGCAGCCCAACAGCCAGACAAAGTCCAAAAGTTGAATGTGTAGTTGGACCGACACGATAGCAAGGACCCCTAATTTAACCCTTATTAGAGCACTAGCAATTGCCTGAGTCGTGTGTGGTCAGCACTTAGTAGTCTAGATAGAAGGGAATGTACCCATGTGAAGTGCATGTCTAGCTAAATTTATCTATCCTTCATTATACTATTATATAAACCATGTACTGTGTCTCCTTGGTTTTATCCTCTTGATTCCATTCACTTTAAGAAGGTCAACTGCCAATCACCACACTTACACTATTAACGTACATAAATTGTATGTAACGTAGGCTGACTAGGTGCAGACTATAGAGGGTACAACACCAATATACAGTAACGGAAACAATTGTCTGGATGTTTTGCATTATTTAGGGTTTTTTTACATTCCGACCACTGTACATAAAGTCTTAATGTTTAATGGTGGTACGCTTTGGGAGGGTCACATATTGGATGTGTTCACAACACTAAAATCCATTATAGTACATTGGATCTAACTTAGTGCCAAAAGATATGCAAAGAGTACATCCGGACAATTGTTTCCTAGGCCAAATAGCAAATTTCCGGGCAGCGTTTCTAGTACCTAGTCAACCGACAGTTGGCCTTGATCACCACCCGCACCCTCCTAGGCATGTTATCTACGATGTTAGTGCAAACCTTTACAGCGATCTTCTCGCACTCTTCCCCGACCACGCTTTTGCATAAGGGGGTGAGCACTAGGAAAATTGCGAAGGATTTGAGCGTATGCA